GGTTGGCAGACAATGGTCCTATAAGTTTATGTGAATGATCAGAATTCCCAGGTGTATAGTAGAGTTGACAAGGGGAAGGTTGTGGTCACTGCTTGGTCATAGCCAGCTACTCAGAACAACCGAGTAGTTGAATCTGCAGGCTTGGGATCACAGTCGCAGGGGACATCAAGCTCAATTGGTATAACATACTATATAAAACATGTTCCACCTCCTACTTTGGCAAGTAGCAACTGGGATCTTAAAAGCTAGCAAGGTGCCATCTAGATGCAACAATGGAGCATCTGTGGGTTCAAACCATCAACCTTTTGGTTAGCACCCACATGTCTTAACCACTATACCACCAGAGTTCCTAATATAATGATACAGTAATATGAAGCAGCTCTGGTAGCATAGTGCCTAAGGCACTTGACTACTAACCAGAAGGCTGGCGGTTCAAACCCACAAGCCACTCCTCTGAAGGAAGGTTGGGCAATCTACTTCCATAGTGATACCACCTCAAAGAAGGGTCGTTATGAGTCGGGTCTGACTTGATGGCACATAACAACAACAACAACAATAATAATAATGTTTTGATGAATTTTGCAAAGTAGAGCCCATTTGTTATTATGGACCATAGTATGTACTGCAAATTTTTAATATAATAGGCTTTACAGGGTCTGGAACCATATTCGTTAGACTTTGCTCAAATGGACATTATGTGGCAGATGACTGTACTAGAGTTATTTATTTTGTACATTTTTATTCATTTTCTTTATAAATACTCAAAAAGTAGAACTGTATCTAAACCTTTTTATATGGGCTTTAAGAATACCACATTTAAATAAATGCTTAAAAATAGAATATTTTTTATGGTCATATTAATTCATAGAGAAGAAATTCTATGAGGGGGCCCAAGCAGATGACAAAACTATAGAAATAGGCTTTTCCAACAGTGCACTTTCATTATAGTAAATAATTGGTAAGTTCCCCCTAGAAATACCTAGTTCACTTATATTAGTTGAAACATGATTGATATTTATGAGTTTCTGAGGTATGCTCAGTTATTCCTTTTAGCCATCAACTTTCTTGATGGAGTCTTAAAGAAACCACACAATTATTTCCTTAGAAGCGGAAATTGAATCCCTTTTTGAATTAAAAAGCATAAAATGTGTGAATTATATCTTCTTAATACCTGACTTTGTCAAAGGATCATATAGCTTCTATGTATAATGATTTCCACACATGCTACTTCTATAACAATTTGCTGATTTAAAAGTATAAAACAAATCAAGAACCATGATAACGAAGGTATAATAAAATGTACAAAATAGGGTTATACCTAAAAAATCCATGGTGTCCTTTTCCCTCATATTTTCTATTTGGGAGGAAAACTTCTAGACAATGTTGCATAGACCTAGTTGGTCAGATAACCCAAAGTGTTAATCATGCGCAAAAAAAAAAAAAAAAGATCTGCCTAGGACTATGATTGAATTTGTCCTCCTTAGTTTATCAAGCAACTTTTCAAAATAAAACATTTTCCTTATCACACAGTTCAAGTAAGCACAGGGATATAGGTTAATGGGAGCTTTATTCCATTGTACTATGGAGTTGATCACTAATTGCCCTCTTGAAAATTATTTCCACAGAAGGCAGCAATTCCATATAAAATAGATTTTTAAAATACCCCAAAATATTTTTCAAATATATTATGACACCAAATTTTTATTGCATGAACAAAAATGCCTAAATAATAACATATATCTGTTTACCATAAATAATGTATATTCCATACATATGATAAAAACCATATGTCATAAATGTTCTCTATGCTTCAGACAAAAATTGGAAAGAGCCTAAATGTCTAGCAATAGGAAATAGCTTGGTTTAATATATAAATATCCCCTCAAATGTGTTCTATCTTCCACAAGTTTTCAACAATCATTTTAAAGCTATTAAATAAAAGGGTTTTCATGAATATTTTGGAGATTGGGAACCAAATGTTTGCTCAAAAGTAGAATGATGAATTCATGTCAGTAAATGAAAAAATAGGACAATTTAATAAATATTAAATCAAGCTAATTTCCTAAAGGGCCTTTTGGCATTCCATGAAGTGTACTTTCCCTAGTACAATGTCTACTGCCAAAAGAACATCTTTTGACAATCATTTGCTGCACTGCCATCAACTTAAATGTTAATCTAGTACCCTTGATCTTTGCTATATTTCTAATTAGTTCAAGATTTAACAATGGTCACAATTCCTGCCTTTTTATAAAAAAAAAAAAAAAAACCTGTATCATTTCTTCTAATCACAAGAAAGTGGGCTTGTGCGTGTCAACAAAGTGAGTTCTTCCCAATGTCCACACATCTTTGGAACTCAGATAAACTGAAGCACAACTCCACTAAACCCTATGAATCTTTCTAAGAACTACAAGAATTTGTGTGCAACACCAAGATCAATTAAAGTCATTCAGACAATTGAACATTCATTCATTCATTAGCGACAACAAATTTTGTACTTTATCTTTCTTCTCCTCTCTCTGCAATAATTCCTTCTTCTTCCATAGTTTCTCTTTCTCCTTTTCCTTTTCTCTTTGTCTGGCAGAAATATCCATTTCCAGTCTTGCTACATCTTCCTGGTGGGTTCGCCATTGAATAACCTGAAATACAGAGAAAGAGAAACACTTGATTTCAATAGCTATGTACATTCAAGTGGTTTTACAGGTCATAAGGAGACTAGATTCTATATTAAGCATTAAAATTGTGTGTACACAGGAATATGTGATAAGTGTATGATGTTTGTACATGATATATGTGTAAGTGTTAAAGGGAAAAAGCAACTTTAACAGTACCTCATTTAGAGAGTCTTCACCTTAGATTCATGGAATAAAGTCCTAAAGAATCAATGAATTGATGTCAAGGGATTTGTGAATTCCTATTAAGAGTATATAAAAATTTCTGTGTTTTTTCACATATGTGTTTTTCTGGAATGTAGGTAATCTCTTCATTCAAAAAGTCTCAAATGGATTAAAGATTTTATAAAGTTTACAAATCTCTGATATATTTCAGCCTCTTTATTTTATAAGTGAAGCAATGGGTCCAATGAAGAGGGAAACAAATTTTTAAGACATTTAAAATAAATTAGCACAAGGTATTTGACTGCTAACCAGAAGACTGGTGATTCAAACCCACCAGCCACTCCTCAGAAGGAAGACTGGGCAATCTACTTCGGTAGTGGTATCACCACAGAAATCGAAGGAGGGGTTGCTATGAGTTGCGACAGACTTGACGGCAGTGAGTATTTTTGGTTTTTATTTTTATAAAGCCTTTAGATACTGAAATGCTCTTGCATTTATAATATTTTATTAATTTAAGGGGAAAAGTCCAAAAGTTTCCATCAAATACATCTAAAGAGAAAAACACATCACTTTGTCAAAATATGAGTTGGATCTGACTCAATGGCAGTGAGTTTGGTTCTTTATTTTAGTATGTGCCCTTAGTAAAAATATTATTTCATTTACAAAGGGCATGTGGCAATATGTATCAAAACACAAAATATGCATATCCTTTGACCCACAACAATTCCAAGAAATTATCTAAAGTTGACAATCAATTTGACAAGTGAATAAGGTGTGCTTACATGCAGTGCTACTTAAAACAAAAAACTGGAAACAGTCTAAATGTCTGGGAATAGGAAGTGATTTAATTATGGTACCTTCACACAAAGCATGCCATTCTAAAAGGATGGTGTATATTTATATTAATTGCCATAGAAAATGTCCAGAACATATTATTAGGTGCAAAAAAGCAGGTACAAAACCATATTTATAATGTCATATCATTAATCTGGGAGCTCTGGTAGCGTAATGCCTAAGGCACTTGACTGCTAACCAGAAGGCTGGTGGTTCAAACCCACCAGCCACTCCTCGGAAGGAAGATGGGGCAATCTACTTCCATAGTGATACTGCCTTGGAACCCAAGGAGGGGTCGCTATGAGTCAGGTCTGACTCGACTGCACATAACAACGAACAACAAATCATTAATCTAAAATATCATGCATGTGTCTATGCATGGAAGGAGACTTTGGAAAACTTACCAAAACAATAATATTAGTTATCTCTGAATAGTACCATTTCATGGAATTAAAAAATATATTCTTTAAACTTTTCTCTATTGGGCAATATTTTTACAATAAACAAGTATTATCTTTGTAAGCAGGAAACCAATGAAATGAACAAAACAAAAATACATGAACATACATGGCTGACAAAGCAGCAAAGAAGGGGGTACAGAGTGTGCACAACTGTTTTCAGAAAAGTAAGAAACTACATTCAATTTAATTACTTGTATCTTATATTTTTTATATAAGCATGACTCGTTAATGGTGATTTATAAAATATATAAAATAATAAATAGAATGATGTCCTATAACTATAATGAATTAAAATTACTAAATAAGCTCTCTTTGCACTTATATTATTCAGTTTCATTTTCTAAAAAAAAATCTTTGCACTATTTATCAAAATAACCAAGGAAATTTCTACTTTTGGTTTTCAAATACACTTAGGTTTTCACAACCTCTTGCTTACTCTAACCATCATATTTGCTTTCCTCTTTGAAATCTCATTCCTAGAATTGATGATCATCTATGTTTTCTGTATCTATCTTCTACATTCTGTCCATTCCTTTGTATAATTCTACACTTTTCTTCTCACTCCCTATGTCCACTCTTACACACCTAACACTACTGCTATCTTCTTTTTTCATTCACTATTTGATATGTTCATTTTCTCCTATGAGTTCGCCTATCAATTCTATGTGTCTATCTCTAAAATTTACATTATCAGCTCTTTTTGTCTGCAATCCAATGCTATATTGACAAATGTTTACAGATCTGATTATTTCCAAAATTTAACATTTCCAAAATTAAACTCACCATCCTTAACTTCATCACAGCTCCACACCAAGCTCTGTGAACCTGCCTCTCCTTTTCAAATATCCTTGGTTGGTCTAGGGAATCACAACCCTTCCTGTAGTTTGGATTTATTATTATTATTACACATATCCATCAACATGATTAAATACTTACATTTTACATCTGACTTGAGAAATCTTATATATA